TAGTTGTTTTTATGATTATTGAATTAGGTATTGCATTATCCTCTTTTTTTAATATATATTTCTTATGTTTGACATAATGAAATTGTAAGTTTTCTTTTATTTCCGATATGTCACAACTCTTCTGTCGTATTGCTCGTAGAGTGCTGATATTGGTAATTCTTGTTTTTGAATCATTCAGATCTTACCTCTATTGCTCATACTCTTCGAAAATGCTTTCACACTCGTGTCGGCCCTTCTAAAGTGCACTACTTTTAAATGATCCGACACACACCTGTCGACAATATCGAAGAGTACGAGAAACATGGGATCTTACAATCGTAAGTGAGCCCAATTCTTTTTGGTTTTAAGAATCATAATATTATTGCATATTATGGGTTAGATGATGCTGGGTCATGCCCCAGCATATTGTTACATGAAGTGAGCGAGGTTAGCAATATTAAAAAAGTTAATATTAGTACTACTATTACTTGTTATGAAGATAACATACCCATTTCCTAATCATCTCCCATGTGTATGGATGTTGTCCTCGATTTGTTAGTTGGGCCTATGTCCATGACCCTTGCTGGTGGTTGATCGAAAATTTGAATTGTAGAAATGCTAAGTATTATACACAGTAATTTATTCTTTGCTAATTTATCAGCAAAAAACTTTTGCATTCAAATAGATTTTTCTAATTTTTGATTGGATAATTCAACTTATTGATCAGTTATCATTAAGAAACTAGTTTCAATATCAAATCACTTCAGTTCAGCAGATTTTTTTTTCTGAAGCATGTCTTTTCCATAATTGTAATTGTCTCTATAGATACGATGTCCACTTCTTTGAAGAGATAAGCAAAATCTTGAATTTCTTGGCCTAATCTTAAGTTTATTCTATGAGTGGGATTGTGGTTCCTTAGGGTTGATTGAAGTAACAAATTGAGTTTCATGAGCAAGTTCAGATACATGCAGTTAAGTGAGTATGACATAATTCGGAGGTTCATATTACAACCCATTATTTGGAGGTCCATACTGCAATACGGGGATTTTTAGCCCATCATTCATCTCAAAAATTTCATGGCGACCGTGGAACTAAGTTGTGACGACTCGATTTCTTGAGTCATGATGTCACCTATTATAAGCCACCAGTAGGTAAGCCGATACGTATCCCGGAACAACACGTAATGGGTCTGAGGGTACAAGTCCCAAAAGTGGACAAACAAAATTAGACTGTCTCGAAAAGTAAAAGACAGGTCTTATATATACAGATGGAGACTGAAATAGTACAAAACGTCATGTGCTAACCACACTGCTCCAAACTCGATCAACGCTGGCTACTAGTGCTCGAACCTACATCACGAAAATAGATGCAGAGCGTAGCATGAGTACCAAACAACAAATACCCAATAGGCATCATAGGCCGACTGAACTTGAAAAGTAAAGCAATATGAAAAGACGGAATTGCATAACTAGAGGTCAAGAACTGAAGACTAAGTAACAAAGGAATGCACAAGAGTGTAGAAAGAACTAACTAAATTAATATATAAGATAACTAAACCTAACTGGACCCCCATAAGCCTAGAAGATACACTCATGCGCAAGTTTGAATAAAAACCCGAACAGACCCCCATAAGCCCGACGAGTAAGCAAAATAACTATAACTAAGGATAATAGAACTCAAGGCCAAAGAACATCGAACCAAATGCTCCAAACCAAATAGTAGAATTTGACGGTACGGAGGTCGGGCCTCGAACCGAACGTTAACTAGAATTACTCAAGTAGCCAATCACAAAATAACCTCTAACCGGATGCTCTACATAAGTGTGCAGATGTTCAAGTCGGACCTTGAACCAGATACTTTTTGAAAATTATCAATGAGGTCGAGGTCGGGCCTTAAATCCGAATGCCCGACGAAGTTGTCAATTTAGCTACTGATAAAGTCTTAGTCTATACATAATCATAAATACCCGTGGAACACATCCACACATAACCAATTAATGTAAGTTCTTGAAATCGAATAAAAAATCAACTTTGAAATGCAGAGTGGAATTCATTGTCACCGACGTAACTCGTGAAGCCGTAACATCGCAGAAGTAAGGATAACTATCGTCGGAGCAAGCTTATCGTCAACCTAAGGCCGAAACTATTAGACTCAAGTTTGCTACATCGGTCTACAAGGATTTAAGTCGACCGATCAAGGTCAGGGCAAAACTAAGTCCTACCAGTTTTGATCATGCATTTCTAAGGCAAGCTTTAGTCAAACCTAAACTAAGGCCCAACATACTTCTAATAAATAGTATTCAAGCATACAAATACTCCATATAGCAAAGAAGATTAATTAATAATAATAAACATGCTTATAGTGACCCGATTCTCAGAAATAGGCCAAAAATATGATTTCTAACACATATGCATGATTCAATAACTACCTAACCCAAATCCCAACTAATCAACATGCATTCACATATTTGAGTTCAATCTAAGAAAAGGAAACTGTATCCTACCTGTACGCAAATCACGCACGCTCCAAAAATCACTTCTCCAGAGCTTTTCCTTTCCGAGCGGCATCAAGTCGTTGATACACTATCAAAAATAGAGCCAAAACGTTATTACGGTTGTTAAGACACTAAAATCTCAAGAAATGGAGACAGGTCAAATTTGCGGTCAAAATGGGACCCACGTTGAAAATTTCAGAATTAACCCTAAATAAAGGTCCTAAACATCTCTCGAAACTTATGTTCCATTTTGGAACACACGGGACTCGAAACAGTCCCAACACAAACATGCAACCAAAAACCCGAATACTATGCTAAAATTCAACAACAATTGCTGCAGCTATTTACAAGAATTTACCAAAAATTAAGGTCCAACAGCTAAAACCATTCACACCACGATGATCCTCACGAAACCCCTCACAATATAGGCTCTTGAATCACCATATTCAGACCTAAAATGGCCAAGAAATCACCTTCTAAAAGTTTACCAATAATTGAGCTCTAAAATGAGCTATGACAGCACTTAAAACACAATTTTTACCTTCAACAAGACTACAAATGTGAATTCCAAACACGCCAACATGTTCTCCTCGAAAATTCACTCAAGACAGACTCATGAATCACTGAAATTGAACCTAAAATGGCTGAGAAAACTAGTGTCAAAACATCCAAAATCAAGCTCAGAAATAGCAGGTATTACATGAAATTTACCTATAAAAGGGGACCCCAAATCAAATACCAATCTCACCAATGTGTTGTCCTCGAAAAATCTCACAACTTCGCCTTTTGAATCGCCCCCAATTGGGAGCTCTATAGCTCATTATATCACAACTTTGAAATAAGGCATAAAGGCTGAATTTTGAGGATTTTAAAAGGGAAACTTGGTCGTTAAAAAGCCTCAGAAACTGGATGTTAAAACCTCAATTCTGGTCGCTAAAGGGCTGCACCAGATTTCCGCTTTGGCTAATTCCTTCAAAGTCTCCGAAGGGGTGCTCGGAATCCGTTCGGAACCTGATAAAAATAAAACAGATATGCTACCCTACCACAGCCGACACTCCGAACTCAACGGCACAGTCAAAATTTCCATCCGAGGTCATTCTTGATAAAATGTGGGTCCCACCTCCATCAGCCATTTTAAGTCCAAAACCATAAAAGGTCTCGCAAAGAAAATCGGAAACCTCGGGACACAAAAGAAGGGTCAGACTAGTCCAAAGTCGACATTCCAAAGCTAGCCTAACTGACAGAATTCTCATCAGAGCGCGTTTACTTAGAATGTTGACTTAAGTCAAACTCAGCCTTAAACTTAAAGTTAAAACGCCTAATCGCACCAACTCACACTAAAAACTTGGAGAGTCATGTAGACCATGCTACTAGCCTAAAATGACCCTTCCGGAGCTGATGGAATTGTCAGAATTGGATTCTGATGTCAGCTTCTTGACCTTTTGATCAAAAATGATCATTCAAGGTTCATAAGATCCAAAAACTCTAAAACTCGCACAATAACCAAACGAATGACCAGGTGACTGAACTTTCATTCCCAGCAAGTCATAAATGACTTTGGATTGCTATAGGAATGCTCTAAAAGATGCACAAAAGACAAAACACAAAAATGACTAAGATGGTCATTATAAAATCCACTACTAAAAAGGACTTTCGTCCGCGAAAGTAGAGTCAAGAAGTACCTGAAGGCTCAAACAAGTCGGGAAAATACTCTCGTATCTTCTGCTCGGTCTCCCAGGTAGCTTCCTCGACTAAACGATGCCTCCAACGGATATTAAAAATAGGAATGGATCTCAAGCGTAATTTTCTCACATCTCTGGTAAGGATGGCAACTGGCTCCTCTACAAATGTCAAACGGTCATCCAACTCAACTGCATCATACTGGAGCACACGGGACTCATCAAGAATATAACGGCGTAGCATCGAGACATGGAAAACCATATGGATGGCTGAAAATGTTGGATGTAAGGCTAACTCATAAGCAACCGCCCCAACTTTTCCGGAGTATATCAAAAGGCCCAATGTACCTGGGGCTAAGCTTACCCAGCCTCCCAAATCTCATTACGCCCTTCATGGGTGACACATGGAGGAATAACCGATCACTAACAGAGAATCTCAAAGGTCCACGCCTCCGATCTGCATATCTCTGGTGCCTAATCAGAGCTATCCTGAATCTATCCTGAATCACTCTCACCTGCGACCTAGGCTCTGTAGACTCGAACCATCCCATCGGAGACTGACCACCAAACTCTAAAACACAAGCCCGTAGCATGTCCTCAAAGACCTAAATAGTACGCTCTGACTGACCATCAGTCTGCGGATAGAAAGTTGTGCTAAGGTCAACCCGGGTGCCCAAATCATCCTGAAAGGTCCTCCAAAAGCTAGATGTGAAATGAGAACCTGATCTGATATAATAGAAACTGGCACCCCATGAAGTTGAACCACCTCCCGAATGTAGATACGAGCCAACCTCTCGGCACTAAATGAAGACTAAATGAGAAGGAAATCTGTTGACTTGGTCAATCGATCAATGATGCCCAAATGTTATCAACTCCTCTAAAAGTCTGCGGTAGGCCAACACAAAATCCATAGTGATGCGGTACCACTTCCACTCCGGAATGGGTAATCTTTGAATTTCACCACTAGGCCTCAAATGCTCGGCCTTTACCTGCTGTAAGCACAAGCAATGAGAAACAAAGTCAGCAATATCTCGTCTCATGCCACTGCACCAGTAATGTTGCCTCAAATCAGGATACATCTTCGTTGTACCCGGATGGATTGAATATCTAAAACTCATGGGCCTCAAAAAGTATCAACTGTATCAAATCCCCAATTCTCGGGACACAGATGCAACCGACGAATCTTAACACTCCATCAGGATCTAAGGTATCCTGATCACCATCACTCGCTAACACTCGATCTCTAAGGGCCACCAAGTCTTTATCCTCAAACTGACAACCACAGATCCTATAATGCAAAGAAGACTAAACTGCCTTATAAGCCAAGACGCGTCTAGAACCTGAGATATCTAACTGTACCATGCTATTGGCTAAAAACTGAATGTCCAAAGCCAAGGGTCTCTCTTTTATAGATAAGAAGGCTAGACTACCCATACTCACTGCCTTTCGTCTCAAGGCGTCTGCTACCACATTCGCCTTGCCCGGATGATACAGAATAGAGACATCATAGTCCTTCAAGAGCTCAATCCAACGACGTTGCCTCAAATTAAGGTCCCTCTGGCTCATGATGTACTGAAGACTTTTGTGGTTGGTATAGATCTCACATCAAACTCCATACAAGTAGTGCCTCCAAATCTTAAGCACGAAAACTCCGCCACCAAGTCCAAGTCATGGGTGGGGTAGTTGCGCTCATGGACCTTAATCTGCCTCGACGCATAAGCTATAACCCAACCCTACTACATTAATACACAACCCCCACCAATGCTAAACGCGTCATAATAAATCGTGAAGCCCTCGCTCTCAACCAAAAGAATCAATCTATGAGCGCTAGTAAGCAACTCTTTGAGCTTCAGAAAGTTCATCTCACACTTTTCTGACCACACAAAGGGAACATCCTGACGAGTCAACCGAGTCAACGGAGCTGCAATGGTAGAAAAGCACTCAATAAAGCGTCTGTAGTAATTCGCTAACACGACAAAGCTGTGAACCTCAGTAACAGAAGTGGGTCTATCCCAACCACAAATAACTTCAATATTCATTGGATAAAACCTAAATACCCTCCTTGGACACCATGTGCCCCAAGAATGCTACAGACTCAAGCCAAAACTCGCACTTTGAGAACTTGGCATAAAGCCGCTGATCTCTCAAAGTCTAGAGCACTATCCTCAAATGATGCTCATGCTTACTCCGGCTCCGCGAGTATACCAGTATGTCATCAATGAAGCTGATAACAAATGAATCAAGGTATGACCTGAACACACGTGTCATCAAGTCCATGAAGGTAGCTGGGGCATTAGTCAACTCAAAAGACATCACAAAGAACTCATAATGGCCGTAACGAGTCCTAAATGCGGTCTTGGGGATGTCCACTGCTCTAATCCTCAGCTGATGGTACCCAAACCTCAAATCAATCTTAGAAAACAAAATGGCACCCTAAAGCTGATTAACCAAATCATTTATACGAGGCATGGGGTAACGGTTCTTCACCGTCACCTTGTTCAGTTGCCTGTAGTCAATACACATCCTCATAGTCTCATCCTTCTTTTTCACAAACAAAATAGGAGCACCCCAAGGCGACACACTCGGATGGATGAACCCCTTACCTGAGAGGTCTTCTAACTGAATAGTGAGCTCTCTGAGCTCTGTAGGAGCTATCCGCTTAGGCAAAATAGAAATAAGACGGGTGTCGGGCTCCACATCTATGGCAAAATCAATGTCATGCTCTGGGGGTAGGCCAGGTAGATCTGTAGGGAAAACATCTGCATACTCTCTAACTATAGGAACTGAGTCAACTGACGGGCCCTCCCTACTCACATCTCTAACGTTGGCCAAATAAGCTAAACACCCAGAAGCAACCAATCGCCTAGCCCGTATAAAAGAGATGATCCCCGTCGGTGTGCGACTATAAGCACCCTACCACAACACTGGGGGAATGCTAGGCATGGATAAGGTAACGGTCTTCGCATAAAAATCTAAGACCACATGATTGGGGGATAACCAGTCCATACCCAAAATCACATCAAAATCAATCATATCTAGCATAATAAGATCAACTCTAGTATTATAACCCTGGATAGTCACTAAGCAAGATCGCAATACTTGATCCACTACTAAGGACTCACCCATCGGGGTAAAAACATGAACTGCATCTGCCAAAGAATCAGACCTTATACCCAATCGGTGAGCAAAATAAATATATACAGACGAGATTGTGGACCCGAGATCAAATAATATTGTAGCAGGCTGATGGCATAATAAGAGCGTACCTGAGATGACATCATCAGTGCCTCAGCCGCAGCCCTCGCTGGGGCTGCGTAGAAATGGCCCAGAGCAGTTCTGCCTCGTGCACCTGATCTACCATATAACCTGCCTCCCCGAGCTCTACCCATGACACCCTATCTACTATCCAGACGGTCCTGGTCCTGACCACCACCTCTATCCTGAGAAGACACTGCTGAAACTGGTTAGCTGCAAGTGGAGCTGGTACAATTGCCCCCGACCTCGCCGAGGCATTTTATAGACCAATGGTCAAGAGCACCACAATTATAATACCCCGAAGCTGAACACCTTGTAGTGACCCGACTGCGGCATGAAGGAAGGGAATCTGATTCCCTTGAACTCTGGACTGTACTAGGACCATTCTGCTGACACTGTCCTCTCTTAGAAACAGGTAATGCCGCCTAAACAGGCCGACTGGACTGACCCTATTGGAACCTCTAATGGGGCCTATCATATGAATCCCTCACCCTAATTTGGGACCCGCTATAGCTGTCATGGTAGCGTGCCCTTCATATCGCTACCCCCTTCGACCTCATGCTGAATATGCTCTATGGATCAGGCATGATCGACCACATTTAGAAAAGAACGGCCAGCTGAAACCATATGCTATATGTAAACCCTCAAACGATATTGCAACCCACGTACAAAACAACTAACTCTCTCCCCCTTTGTGGTCAGGATCATAGTAGCATGGCGAGATAACTCATAAAACCTCGCCTCATATCTGAAAGTCATAGGGACCTGCTCCAATCTAGAGAACTGATCACAAAGCCTATCTCTGACGCTCCGTGGCATGAACCGGACTAAGAAAGCCTCTGAGAACTGTCTCCAAGATATAGTTGGAGATCCAACTGGCCTGGACTCTTAATACATGTGCCACCACTGCCTAGCCGGCCCAAGGAACTAATGAGCGGTAAAGTCAGCTCCTTTCGACTCTTAGAGTCCTAATGACTGTAATTGATTCTGGCAAGTGAGTTGGAACTCGTGGGCGTCCTCCACAATCGCCCCTGAGAATATAGGCGGCGCCAACCTCTAGAATACCCCAATCATCTTCTGCTCGAGCAATGGCATCTCTCACATCTCTCTAACCTCTAAGTCTGGCGGGGCGGCTACATGAACTAGTGACTAATGAACAACCTCTGGTGCCGCTGCGGCAGACTTACCCTGCAGCGCTAGTGCTGGTGCTTGTACTGTTGGGGCTGGTGTCAGTCGCGTCTCCCCAGTAAATGTTAGTTTCTGAGTTAAGAGGGCCTGAAGATCAGGTGGTGGCTGGGCTGGTCGTGGCCCCACTGGCTATGGCGATACATGCGCAACATGAGGCTCTTCCACCCTATCCCAGGCCGGTGCTGCGATCCTACCTTGATCTCGAGGTCAGCGTCTACCCCAACCTGAAGCTCCGGGTGCATCACCCCTGGACGCACCGCCTCGCATGCGAGCCATCCTTCAATAGACTGAAACAACTGAGATTTTAAGAAACCTACAAGACACACACGACATGAATTTGAAACAAAACAAAAATCTTCCTAAATACATCCTGTAGCCTCCCGAAGATAATTTACGGACGTCTCCGCACCGATCCGCTGGACTCTACTAGACATTAGCTCTATAAAAGTGAGACCGTTGAACCTGGTCTGACACAAAGTAGTCACGACCCAATTTCTTTAGTCATGATGGCTCCTACTATAACCCACTAGTAGGTAAGCCGACCAGTAACCCCGAACAACATGTAATGGGTTTGAGGGTAGAAACTAAACAATAGTAGGCAAAATTACTATAACAACATAAGCAAACCAAAACATATATACAAATAAGGATCCCTCTCAGAATCTGGAAGTCATTAGTACAGAGCTACCAACAAAACAAGTACAAGTCCTAAAAGTGGACGACCAAAATTAAACTTTCTCGAAAAGTAAAAGACAAGTCTTTATATATACAAATGGATACTGAAATAGTACAAAATGCCATGTGCTCACCCCTGTCTTCAAACCAGACTGCTTCAAACTCGATCAACGCTGGCTACTGGTGCTTGGACCTACATAACGAAAATAGATGCAGAGCTTAACATGAGTACCAAACAACAGGTACCAAGTAGGCATCATAGGCCAACTAAACTTGAAAAGTAAAGCAATATGAAAAGACGGAATTGCATAACTAGAGGTCAAGAACTGAAGACTAAATAACAAAGGGATGCACACAAGTATATTAGAACTAACTAATTTAATATAGCCCAGAAGGCACACTCGTGCGCAAGTTTAAATAAAAACCTGAACGGACCCCTATAAGCCCGACGAGTACACAAAATAACTATAACTAAGGAGATAGAACTCAATGCCAAAAAACATCGAACCAAATGCTCCAAAACAAATAGTAGAATTTGATTCTGCGGAGTTCAGGACTTGAACCGTACGCTCCCCAGAATTACATAAGTAGCCGATCACAAAATATAAATAACTGAGGCCGGACCTCTAACCGGATGCTCTACATAAGTATGCAGATATTCGAGGCCGGACCTTGAACCAGATACTCTTTGAAAATTATTAATGAAATCGAGGCCGGGCATTAAATCTGGATGCCCGACGAAGGTGTCAATTAGCTGCTGAAAGAATGTATCTATCCATAATCATAAATACCCGTGGAACACATCCACACATAACCAATCAATGTAAGTTCTTAAAAGCGAATCAAAAATCAACTTTGAACTACGGAGGGAATTTATTATCACCGACGTAACTCGTGAAGTCGTAACATCGCAAAATTAAGGATAACTATCACCGAAGCGAGCTCATCGTCTAGCTAAGGACCAAACTATCAGACTCAAGTCTGCTACACCGATCTACAAGGATTTAAGCCGATCGAGCAAGATCGAGGCAAAACTAAGTCCTACCAGTTTCGAGTCCTGCATTTCTAAGGCAAGCTCTATTCAAACCTAAACTAAAGCCCAACATACTTCCAATAAACAATATTCAAGCATACAAGTACTCCATATTGCAAGGAAGGTTAATTAATAACAATAAACATGCTCATAGTTACCTGATTCTCAGAAATAGGCTGAAAATATGATTTCTAACAACTGTGCATGATTCAATAACTACCAACCCAAATCCCAACTAATCAACATGCATTCACATGTTCGAGTTCAATCTAAGAAAAGGAAACTGTAGCCTACCTGTACGCAAATCACGCACGCTACAAAAATCACTTCTCACGAGCTTTTCCTTTCAGAATGGCTTCAAAACGTTGATACACTTTAAAAAATACAGTCCCAACATTATTATAGTCGTTAAGAC